GTCTCGATGGTATGCGATCCAACAAAGTGTCCCAGTAGATGTTAATAAGATCACGATGGAAGATGAGGAAGGAGCAGTCAGTTACTCTAAAAGAGATGAGATATTCTTCTGGGGAAGTAATTGATAGGATCTTACCGCATCAACTAGAGCCACCTAATCACAAGTCCAAATTTTCAAATATAATAGGCGTTCGATATACTATGAGATACGAGAAATATCAAAGCTAATGAAGAGATGATTGCAAAATAATGAAAACCTATCCTTTTCTATGAGGCTTAAGCGTACTTTGTTTACATACATCGCACTAACTTCTCCATTAAAACTTTTTCCTATTATCTGCGTATTTGAATCAAAATGAGCTAAGTTTTCTAATCTATGTATAGTCTGTTATTTCCTGAAGATTACCAATTACTTTGTCCTCTTCCAAATATTTTACAGTCTATTTGAAATGACTAGACGCGATAATTGAGTCAAATCAATACTAGTCAAATAATTTTAGAACATGCAGATGTTAAACATTTTGACCGCAAACCAACTTGAGCCAATTTTTCGTGCAAAACATTACTATAATAGTCGATGTCAGAAGTTCAATTTAAATTACATGTAAAATTCAAACAACTGAATGAGAAGAATTGGTGCAAAAAAAAAAAACACGTAAATGTGGTGCATCAAATTTTAGCTACAATAATTTATCACTTTAGACATATGTGATATAGCTGATTTCTGGAAAATAGATCTCAACAACTAAAGTATTCATTTCTTAATTGGAGTCTGGTTTGTGCTATCACAGAAGTATACATCTTACTTAGTACATTTGATAATACTCAAATGTTACGTTTACTTTAATAAGGTATAGATTTTGCTTTTAAACAATCATTAACTTAGGGAAGACACAACTTTCGATACTATGAAATTCGTGGGTTAAACATCTTAGTACCTCTGAATGATTGAATCCATTCTGCAGAATGTATGAAGTCTTGACAATAGAGCATCAAGTTGAGAGGAGTCGATTCGGCGCATTGCATCCTGGAACAATCTTGATGAATAGTACTTATCTTAGTAAGTAAATTCCGTCAATTTACCTTATACTGCGCAATTTCCAGAGCAACACCGCATACACAAAGACGTAATCGAGATTCTGAAAAGCTAGTTTATTTTGCGGAAAACCTAACAAAATAACAGCATAGCAACTTGCCAGAGCCGAGCAGGCACTGGATAGCTATATGGAACGCTGCAGCACGATGAGCATCACCGGATTCTCTAGCGCTAAGACGCGCTCGATCTATAAGATCAAGCGAATGGCATCGCCATTGTTGGCAGGCCATTTGACGACATTCTAGTAAAACTCGTCGGCAATCATCGAATGTTTTGGAAATGGCCTGAATCAACGATAGTCGGAAGAAAATAATAGATAATTACAGGTGGACTTGCCTTGATATTCTCAACGACATTGAATATCTTGTATGCTTTGGTTTTGGATAACCGTATGGGTCCTGTATGAGAATTCAGCACGTTTCTCAGTAAATCGCCCATGATTCCAGCTATTCGTGCACCCTTAATAGAAAAAACTGAAGTTGTTACATTATAAAGAACTTTTTCGTGGGCAAAAGGACAAAGCTATCGAAAATTTAGAACCTATAAAGAAATAGGAGAAATAAACTCCTACAAGAAGATCAGTCATCGCAAGCCAGAACTTTGTCACCTCTTATAACGGAAGAGATATATGGCAATGATTCAAGTATGGAGATGTCTTCAAATACGGCAGTAGACGTACTGGGTAATTTCAATAATGGAATTTACGAATACGATGAAAATGCTCCATCTTCTAACCTTGAGCATCATTTCTGCCACATAAAGGCTTGTCGCAGCGTCTCTCGTTTCCGTACGCCGGATTTCAGCTTGCATCTAAAAGTCGAAATTTATAAAC